TTTTGAATATTGACAAACCTTTTGGATCTTATAATGCCTTATACTGTTTCTCAGAAATTGAGATCAATTATTTTGCATTTTACAGTTTTCACAGTATTTACATATTTTGAACCATTATAAGCTAATATAAGCTATAAGACTTTCTCGCGATGGCGCCACTCCTCCTAGGGCGCCGTGATTGTTGCTAATGGCTGTGGTGTTATTGACTCGAAGAGTGGTGGAATCTGTGGTGCCTACAGTGATGGCTCGCATGTCATCTGTGACAACTTGTAAGTGCAAATATTCTATGCGACGTTCGATCATTTCCTCACCACTTGCTTCGCCTTGCATTCAGTGGTGGTGTTGTGTCCGCGCAAACTCCCGATGGTCGTGACTGGGGCTCTTGCGTCGGCTCTTCAGAGACATGCGGTTCTACCCATATCCGCTTCTGCTGCTCTTGAGTTAGCTTCTGGTAATAGTCTGTGTTGAATAATATGATTCGGAATGTATGCGTGACCAATATGATGTGTACTCCGAGTCATCTCAGTCGCTGAATTACTAGAATGAGATAAGACAAGCAGTTACTGGGAAGCTGCCCAGACTAGAGAAAAAAGAAATTAAAAACACAATCGTGATAACGGGTACGGCATAAATTCTGATAAACAGTATAACAATGTCTACAGTCGACAGTTCATAGGAGGATTTGATAGTCTCGGAACCAGCTTTGGTTGTTTTACATATTTCTAATATACCTCTGAACTCATGAGTATTCATCTCGAAGATGAATATGATGCATAATCCTGGTTATATACTACTGTGTTTGTTCAGTTAGTCACATTTTGCACAATCAAGACGGTAGAGATGGAGGGGTTTATTGAAGAGAATGGCTCGCGTTTTCAGGAAATTTCGGCCATTTTTTAGGAGGCTCTACGATTCTTTCATATCAAAATATCTAGCGCAGACCTCGCAAACATTATCGGAGTCCATAATGAAGAGGCCAGGCATGTACTTGTTCCACGAACATATATACTCCCCATAACAATTCTTCTGTCCACGACTTCCGTATATCATACGCGTATCTTCAAATTTATATATGTTTTTACTTCCAGGAACAGCCTGTAGTTGGAGAGGCTTTGCGCATTTCTTTTCGACACACAGATGAGAGCATGGGCAGCAGGAATTGTCGTACCAATCGACGTATTTCCTGTGATCAGCATCGTCATGAAAACGATGCACTGGATAGTACACGAGCAGAGAAGTAACCATTCCGTCTATCCGCAGCCCGCGTAGCATCGCTCCTGTGAGGTAATTGCAAGGCTCCATTTCGAATGACCTGCAGGAGGCTATCTTGTAATCGCAGAGTCGTGGTTGTTGAAACCATCCCTTTCGCAGAGCCTTGCAGACCTGACTGAGTGTATCATACGTCTTGATATCAACTAACTCCATTATGCGGAGAAGGATGTCGAGAGGCAGTGGAGGGCAATTCGGATTTTTAGTGTTTGCTTCGGATGAAACGAACTTGATAGCTCCACCATCTATGCAATGTGGGTGTAAATAATGAGCGGCAAGGCTGAGACCCTTCTCGAGACCTTCGTATCCAAACGCATCCATGTATGGTTGGAAATTGCTTTGAGAGACGTGCAGTGTTCCCGAGACAGCTCCTTTAACTTCCGCTACTGCAATGTGCTGAATAGAGAAAATGATGAAGGTACAAGCGTCTTTTCCTACATCTCGTGCGTGTTGAATGGCAAGCCCAATGGCGGCATGTAGGTGCTCCGGAGTTGAACAGTCCTCCACAACTGACACTACACAGCCTCGGTACCGATAATGGGTGTATGTGGGTTCTCTACTAGGGTAGCTCGGGAAATCCGACTTCCTGGGCGCAAAAGAAAGCATAAACCCAGAAGGAGATGCAGCACGTAAGAGGATTTCAGCATAGTTGTGGTATAAAATGGCAGTGACATTACGATGCTTCTTTACTCGCGCTGCATAAATTCTGCCGTTGTCGTACATCATGAGACCGCGAGTAATAGCGGATGCAAGGACCAAGCTTGGATGACCGGCACTGGAGTTCATCCATGTAGACTCATCAATCATGTCAATGCTACTTGCTTCGGCCTGGTAAGCGGCCAGTCCGTCCTCAGAGACAGACAACGGTTTATGCATGCTTCGATAGCAATACTGCCTTGGAGTGTCAGGGCGTAGGACGCTAATATGGAATCCGTCAGCATCTATGTATTGTATCCACTCCTCTCCATCGTCTCCTCGGGGTATGTCCCAGAGACGAAACTGAGCAGCTGCGACACCAAATCGTTCAGAATCGAGGTCAACATAGTAGTAGTAATCGTAGTTCGGATCCGGACCAGAGTTCCTGCTTGGTCTCTGAATGTAAGGTTCAAGATCCTCTTCACCAAGCTCGCCAAGTTCTTCTTCTAGCTTCTTGATCCTGTCTAATTCACGCGAGTAGAAAGCCCTAGTTCTTTCAAGCCACGCTGTAAGAGGAGAAAATTAATGAAGTTTCTCCAATCCACAATCCGCATTACCACTATTACCTTTGTAGGCATCATTCTCGGTAGGAATTTCGTTCACAATTTCTTGCCCAGCGCCTGATGGGTATCCGTCACTCCCGCGTTCACGCACATAAGCTCTTCCTACAAAGTCATTTGACGACAGTGAGCGGGATTATTCTACGCGCTGATAAATGTGCTATACCTTTATGAATGAATGTTATTGCGCAACTAGTTCCCATTTTACAGTATTCAAAGGCGTGCGTTGAGGTTAGTGAGACAAAAAGTGGCTGAAAAGATCACATGGGGCATTTCACAATT